GGAAATGTGTTTATGGTAGTGTTATTTACTGAGTTGGGGAAGACTTGGGAGAATAATAGGTTTAGGAAGCATAATGTTAACTCTGCTGTCCTGGATGTATTCAGTTTTCGGGGCCTGTTACAGCTCCAAGTCAAGATGTAAAATTCCGTTTATTATATGTAGATTGTCTTTGAAATTGAGGTACTGGACTCATCAGGAGACAAAGTGAAAAATAAAGTACAGAACCTAGACCTAGAGTTCTAAAATTTACTACAAATGACATATATTTAATTCAAGGACAGTTTGTCATGAAGTAAGCTGAAAGTAGTAAATAAACATACTGACCCATCACTCTCCATGTTCCTGAGATAGAAAGGGATGCGGCTAAGGAGTCCTGGTACCATAGTGGGTTACACATTGGCTTACTAACTGCAAGGCCAGCAGTTTGAATCCACCAGCTGCTCCATGGGAGAAAGATGGCCTTTCTGCTCCCATAAAGATTTGCAGACTTGGTTGTTATAAGTTGCAACTGACTCAATGGCATACCACCACCACCACCAAAAAGGTTAAGATCCAACTGGAAGATCAACACCATATAATAGTCTGAAGGTTAGCACGCATACTTCAACCATAAGCAATGTGCATAAGGACTTGTTGGTCCCCTTATTGTGACCAAACTACAATTCAAACAAACTACTTAAAACAAATACACTGAAGCCTAATGGAGTTCTTGGAGTCCTGGTGTGGCGCTGTGGGTTAATGGGCCAGACTACAAAGCCATTTGAACTACAAGGTCAGTGGTTCAAGCTCACCAGCTTCTCCTCGGAAGCCCTATACAGGGTCGCTTTGGGTCAGAACTGACTCAACGGCACTTAACAACAACAACAATGGAGTTCTTGAAGCCCTGTTGGCACAGTAGTTAAAGTGTTCAGCTGCTAACCAAAAGATCAGTGGTTCAAACCCACCAGTGACTCTGGGGGGAAAAGATGTAGCAGTCTATTTCTATAAAGATTATTACCTTGGAAACCCTCTGGGGCTACTCTGCTCTGTACTGTAGGGTCATATGAATTGGCGAAACCTCCACAGCAGTGGGTTTGGTTTTGTGGCGTTCTGACTATTTTCTTCAATATGCCTGTACTTTAATACTCACATTTTCTTTTAAGTCTATGTATCATATTCCATGCTTTCTTATTGTTGTCACAATGGTTATGCTTATTTAATTCACATAGACTTGTCTTTATTAAGAATACATTTTATTTGTTTGTTTCTAGATGGAAATATAAGAAAACCATGACTTTCAGTTTTCCTGATGATGCTAATCTTATTTAATGTGGTACATTATGATGATATTAGAAAATAAAATAGAGATAATCCTGGGACTCTGAGCCCTTATTGTCAGTTTCAGAATACATGGAAAACTTATCATTAAATTTCTAATGATGGGGATATGTAAATTATAATTTAGGATCAACAGATGACAAAGTCTTAGAAATCTAGTAACCCAGTTCTAACATTAAAATGCATACTGTTTTTAGAATTGACTACAAAAATTATCATACTTGTAAAAAAAGGAAAAAGGAAGTTGGTGGAGATGACAGAAAGAAAGGTCCTCTGTTACGTAGATTATTAGGACATTTATAAAGTGATATAATTTGTAATGTAGCCAACCGTTGAATTTGGAAGTAACAACTCTTATTCAGCCTCACATCTCAGTAGATTCCCTGGAATCAATTTTGTCTCTGGTAACTAGATGTGGTAAATAATTGGGAGGTGTGTTTGAAACAGGGTTTAAAATTGTTTCATTCTGGTTCTATACTCCTCACTCCCCCCACCCCCACCCGGAGAATTTGCACTTTCACCAGGTATACTTTATCAGTATCTACAATTCAGTAAGATCCCCAGATGATTCTTACAGATCCCTCAGGGCAGGTTGGGTATAGTACTGTTTTACCTGGAGATGAACCAGTTGGAAGCCCTGATTTGCCTTGGTCATCAATTGGCCCCAATTTAAACAGTCCTTCCCAAGGCCCTCCCTACTCAAGAACTAGAAACTAATGGAAACTATCTGAGTTCATTGCTCACGCACGAGAGAATTTCCCCCAAAGTGAAAGGGACTTTTAGATATAAACAGTGACCTTTCAAAGTGGAAGAGGAAGAAGCAAGTTGGAGTAATGAAGCATGTTAGGGAACAGGAGCTAGGACAGTGTTCTGACAAATGTTTTTTATTTCCAGAACAGGCTTTTTGGACCTCTTAGATATGAGCTGGTCATCTGGAAGCTTCTATACTTTTCTAAAGTTTCCAAAATAAGTAGCCCAAGCAAATTGGAATTTCAGAAGGGATTTTTTTTTTTTTTTTTACTATAAAGGGAAGCTGTAATTAGCAGCCTGTTTGGTGGATAATTAATGTCTTCCCTTGGTAGGAAACTGACCATCTAGAACAAATAACTTCCTAGCTGCCCAGCTACCAAACTCAGCTCATGTATTTAGTGCCCAATTATGAAATGTCTTTTGTAGGCCAGGGCCTATGCTAACTAGCTAGTTTAGCAAGAGGGGTAGCACTTGACCTCAAGGTCTTTCTTCCTGAAAATAGCAAAACAAAATTAACACACTGTGTCACTCACTACTAATAAAATCCAAAATGTTGTTGTTGGAGCCCAGAGGAAAGAAATCAAACTGAAATGTTCTCTAATACTTTCATATTCTCTACAATAAATCAGTTCAAGTTCTGTACCTCTTTACTAAACTATCTTCCCCACATATGTCCATCTATGTTTTACTTGTTACACTTTAAATCTATATTAGATTGTCTCACTGAATAGTTTCCTTCTTTCTCAGATGAATCTGGTGAAAGAGGATGGGGTATGATGGTGATAGGATTTTATATGGCTCAGTTATGAATAATTGTTAGTAGGATTAATTGCGATAGTCACAACTGTAATTGTAGATGTGTAACTAAAAGGAGGGCATAGGTAACCTTTCATTTTAGGAACATAATCCCAGGACCATCAAAAGCATGGGTGGAGAGTGAGATACTTACCTAGAAAAGTGGTGAAAGCAGACAGTGGCTGTGTGCCTGTGGACAGGAGGCTGGATGGCAGAATGTGCCCTTTGAACATTTATATATATATATATATTTGTTTTGTAAGTGTACATCAAATATTTTTGCCCTGTTCATTTGTGAAATATAAAATGTAAATGGGGAGCCACAGGGAGGAAGTGAGATAAATGTTTCAGGAAGGAGACTGTAATCATTGAGATGAAACAAAGTGGATGGTGAGCTGATGACCTTGTCTGTAAACCTTCACCCAATTCACCAAAAAGTTAAAAAAAATATTCATTGGATTTTATCTGGGTTTACAGTTTTAACACATCCTGGATATACCTTTTTCCCTTCATATGAATCCCAGAGTAATTCTCTGGCCTCTTTCTCTTAAATTCTAAATAGAATTTAGAGCAGTTTTGGGATATGGACAAAGTGGCTAGGTTATATGTTGATTATTAAAACTTGGTTAAATACTGATTTTAATTTTATTTTATTGGCTGATAACTTGGTCAGTTTGAACCTCAAGGTCGACGGTTCAAGCTCACCAGGCGCTCGTCGGAACCCCTATATGAGTCAGAGCCGACTTCACGGCACACAACTTGTACCGATTACTGATTTTATTTTCTGGCTTGAGAACGGAATGGTTACAGAATAGCCAAGGGTTAGAAGCAGAGGCATAATGGAATTCCGAGCCAAGCAGGCAAGTGTTCCAACAAACAGGAAACTATGGGCGGAAAGAATCCGGTTCTCTAAGCGGAACCTGGCTCTGAGCTCAGGAAGACTGCTTGTGCTGTGCGGCCGCACTTCCCCCAAGCCTGATGGTTCCCTACCCGGCTAATCCTTAACTGTAAATGCCTCAGGAGACACTAACGTGTGGCTACCAAGGTGGGCAGTTGTTTTTCTGGCCACTTTGCCTTTACCAAAGGCGCCCTAATGGTGCGGTGTGTTTAGCGCTGGGCTAACCGAAAGGTCTAAGGTTCGAATCCACCAGCCAATCAGCGGAAGTTGAGGCTGTCTCCTTTCCATTAAGATTTACAATGTTGGAAACCTCAAGAACAGTTTCTACTCTGTCCTATAAGGTTGGTGAGTCGGAGTCGACTCGAAGACAGTGGGTTTGCTTTTGGTTGGTTGCCTTCTGACTTTTGGAATTCAACGGAGGTTGGGAAGGGAGGTTACCAATACCAAGACCGCGCTGCATCCGGTGCCACTCTGCAAAGTGGGCGGCCCTGAGTGGTAACCAGCTTCTACTTGGACGCGCTCCCAGCATTCACTTGGGTTGTTGTTAAGTGCTGTCGAGTCGGTTCCGACCCACAGCTACCTTGTAAAAGGGTTTCTGAGGAGCAGCTGGTGATCTGGAACCACCAGCCTTACAGTCCAGCGCATTGACCCACAGCGCCACACCAGGACTTGAGTCGCAACACTAAAATAGCTTCCACGCAAAGCGCTCCAGTGAGGTCCCAAGGGCATGTGACTAAGCGACAGCCTGTTTGGGCCCTCCCGGCCGCTTCATATTAGGGCGTGAGTTCCCATCAGATTGCAAAACAGATCACATTAAAACAAAAAAACAAGACTCAAAAGAGGCCCAGGGTAACAACTCCAAATGTTTGTAGGGTCATAAGTTACCTAAGGAGTCAATTTACCAGCTCTATCACCAGCAGCACCTCAAAACCCTATACAGGGTCGCTATGGGCCGGAACCGATTTGACGGCACTTAAATTACTTGAATATTTAGGAACAGCAGTGTCACTGTAATTGGGCGTTAGTGACCACACTCAAAAATCCGCCCAACTAAGTACATATTTATTGAAAAACGTTAAAAATAACCTCACACCTGATTACAAGGCTACTTACCAATTACTTCCAGTCTTTTGACAACATGGCTTTTAATTTAAAGTGAATTTAGCTCTTCTTTTGAAATGATGGGGGCCCTGAAAAGAGCCTTTTGTTTTACGTTCCAGAAGTTCAGACACGCGTCAAATTACTTGCCCTTGGCCTTGTGGTGGCTCTCGGTCTTCTTGGGCAGCAGCACAGCCTGGATGTTGGGCAGGACGCCGCCCTGAGCGATAGTCACACGGCCCAGCAGCTTGTTGAGCTCCTCGTCATTGCGAATAGCCAGCTGCAAGTGGCGCGGGATGATGCGCGTCTTCTTGTTGTCTCGGGCAGCGTTGCCCGCCAGCTCCAAAATCTCTGCCGTCAGGTATTCTAGCACGGCTGCCAAGTACACAGGAGCACCGGCCCCAACCCGCTCGGCGTAGTTACCCTTGCGGAGCAGTCGATGGACACGGCCGACGGGAAACTGGAGACCCGCGCGGGAGGAGCGAGACTTTGCTTTAGCGCGTGCTTTGCCTCCCTGCTTACCACGTCCAGACATTGCAAACAGAAAAACAAAGATATGAATCAAAATGGAGAAACTGAATACACAATAGACCACAGCAAAACAGGAAGTAAGTAAAACACTGCTGCTTTTATAGGCATTTTCTGGGAATTAAAGTCCAATCTCTCATTGGCTAGTTACAAGCAGCCAATACAAAAGCACATTTTAATACTTCATTTGCATGGTTCTGCCCCTTCATGACAGTTTATCTGTTTGTCTTCCAATTAAGGGAGACTCTCTTTGCACCCCTCATTAGCATAAAGGCTCTATAAGTAGTAGAAATCCTCTTCGACTATCGTTTTTCCGGCGTTCTCAACTTGAAAAATGCCTGAGCCTGCGAAGTCTGCTCCTGCTCCCAAGAAGGGCTCTAAGAAGGCGGTGACCAAGGCGCAGAAGAAGGATGGTAAGAAACGTAAGCGCAGCCGTAAGGAAAGCTACTCCGTCTACGTGTACAAGGTACTGAAGCAAGTCCATCCCGACACCGGCATCTCCTCCAAGGCCATGGGAATTATGAATTCCTTCGTGAACGACATCTTTGAGCGCATCGCTGGTGAGGCGTCTCGTTTGGCGCATTATAACAAGCGCTCGACCATCACGTCCCGGGAGATTCAGACCGCTGTGCGCCTGCTGCTACCTGGGGAACTGGCCAAACACGCCGTGTCGGAAGGCACCAAGGCCGTCACCAAGTACACCAGCTCCAAGTAAATGTACTAAGTAAGCATCATTTAAACCTAGTTCCAAAGGCTCTTTTAAGAGCCACCCACTTAAACACAAAGAGAGCTGTAATCAATTTTTCGGCGGAAACACATCCTGTGTTCTAAGATCTCACTTGCTCTTTAGCAGTTAGAAGCCTTACTAAATATTCGAGATGGGGTATGTTTCTGTGCACTAAAGTCACAACTACATTTTAATCTTCAATTAGGTTAATTGCTATGTCTACACAATGGATTTTTCGTAGGTTGTTACCTAGTAGGTTTATAAACTCGAATTTAGAGTTCACTCAACTGCTAGATAAATTGGGTCAGTATATATCTTTGGGAATTTTGAGAGCTCCGGGTAACTCCTTAATATGAAGGCAGGGTTGAGAAGTTTTTGCCTTAGGAAAAGCTAGTTTAAAGTGCTGGAGCAATCCGACAAGTCTGCACAGGAAGCTTAAACTGAAATAGGCAGGCGTTGGGAGAGAAACCCTTAAAAACTCTAAAACCAAATCACTCAACTGGAGAGTCTTACCTTTTCAAGTCAACTGCTGGCTGACTGGCTGGTGGCATGGGAAATTTCACCTTGCCCTAAACACATTGTTCCTGGTTTTTGTATGGGGCAAGCATTTTCAAATGGAAAAAATGGAAATATTTTTCCTGGCACATTTTCATTGAGGGGAGAACACATTGTTACCAGCTAGGAGTGAAAATTGCTTTCTCCCTTACAGATGTTGGAAAGTACAGGAAATATCTATATTAAGCAGAAAAGGGCTTTTGTGAGTTAGATATTAACATGCGATTTAGATTATGAAATTAGTTAATATATAAAAGCCACATGATTTTAAAGCTGCAGTTCTCTTTGACACACCCAGGAAGAGTACTTTGCATTAAAACAGGTCTATCTTTGGTGCCTGGCTGGCTTCCATTTACACAGTTCTGCAATCTGTCTAAATTCTTAGGAGAAATAGTTTTGACCTAATTAAGGTGGATGTGCTGATGGAGGAGGTTTGTTAGGCATGTTTCTCAGTCAACTCTCAAAGTTTCCTAAAGTTCTTCAACACCTCAAATTGTTTTTTAAATATGTTCCTAGTTGGGCTTGTTTCAGGATTGATAGTCCTATCTAGATTGACCACTCTCCTATCTGTCTACTATTCAGTTTACCACCCCTCACTCCCCAACCCCCCAAAATGTGCAAAGAAGTACATTGTTCCCTGGCGGGCTGTAAAGAACTTTAAAAAACAAAAACCCAATGTCTTTAAGTCAATTTTCAACTCATAGCCATGCAGTGTATTACAGAATAGAAGTGCTCAACAGTATTTTTTTTTTTTTTACTATAATCTTTACTGAAGCAGATTGCCAGCCCTTTCTTCCACAACACCCACTACTGAGTAGATTCAAAACTCTAACCTTTTAGTTAGTTGTTAAGCGCTGTCAAGACAGTTCTGACTCATAGCAACCCTTATAGGGTTTCTGAGGCTATAAATCTTCATGAGCAGAAAGCCTCCTCTTTCTCCTGTGGATGGCTGATGGGTTTCAACTGTGGACTCGTGATTTGCAGTCTAGTGCTTACCCTACAGAGCCACAACAACAGAGCCACAACATTACCTTTCAATTAGTTGTTATTATTAAGTACCGTTGAGTTGATTCTGATTCACAGCAACTTTGTATAGGGTTTGTTATTGTTGAGTGCCATTGAGTCAGTTCCAACCCATCGTGACCCTGTATAGGATTTCCAAGGAGCCACTGGAGAGCTTGAACCACCAACCTTGAGGTTCAAACTGAGTTTGCAGTCCAGTGCATTAACCCGCAGTGCCACACCCGGACTCCATGCCATCCAGAGACCTCCCTTATCAGGGATGTTGATGTTGCTGTTATATGCTGTTGAATTGGTTCTGACTTATATCAACCCTATGTACAACAGAACGAAGCACTGCCCTGCCCTGGCCCATCATTCCTTTGTTTTAGCCTATCATTGCAGCTAATTCGTTAATATATCCCATTGAGAGTCTTCCTCCTTTTCTATCACTTTACCTAACATGATATCCTTCTCCAGGGATTGGTCCCTTCTAAATAGCATGTCCTGTGTGGCGCTGCAGGTTAATATACTGTACTGCAAGGTGGGTTTGAACCGTAAGGTTGGTGGTTCAAGCTCACTAGCTGCTCCTTGGAAACTCCATATAGGGTCTGTATGATTCAACACCAACTCCACAGCACTTAACAACAACAACAATAACATGTCCAAAGTACTTAAGATGAAATTTCACCATTTTTGCTTCTAAGAAGCATTCTGGCTATACTCCCAAGACAGATTTGTTCCTTCTTTTGGTTGTCCATAGTATATTCCATGCTCTTTGACAACACCGTAGTTCAAATGCATCAGTTCTTCTTTGGTCTTCTTTATACATTGTCCAGCTTCTACATGTATATGAGGCAATTGAAAATATCATGGTTTGAGTCAGGTGTACTGTAATCCTGAAAGTGGACTCTTTAATTTAAAGAGGTCTTTTGTTAGTAAATTTGTTCAATGCAGTACACTGTTTGATTTCTTGGCTACTACCTCCATGGGCATTGATTGTGGTTCCAAGTGAAATGAAATCCTTGACAACTACAATCTTTATCATAATAATGCTTTTTTGTCCAGTTGTGAGAATTTTTGTTTTCTTTATTTTCTTTCATTTCTTTATGTTGAAGTGTAATCCATACTGAAAACTGTAGTCTTTGATCTTCATCAGTAAGTGCTTCAAATCTTCTTTACTTTCACCAAGTAAAGTTATATCATTTCCAAATGACAGATTGTTTAATGAGTCTTCCTTCAGTATGGATTGCATCTCAATGTAAAGAAAACAAAAATCCTTACCTCTGGACCAGTAAACAGCATCCATATAAAATGGAGAAATGATTGATGTTGTCAAAGACTTCATTTTGCTCAAATTAACCATCAACACTCATGGAAGCAGCAGCCAAGAAATCAAACCATTGCTGCACAAGACCTCCTTAAAGTGTTCAAGAGCAAAGATGTCAGTTTGAGGACTAAGGTGCCATCTGACTCAAGCTATGGTATTTCCAATAGCTTCATATGCATGTGAAGGTTGGACAATGAATAAGGAAGACTTGATGCATTTACATTATGGTGTTGAAGAAGCATATTTAAAAGTACCATAGACTGCCAAAAGAACATACCAATTTGTGTTGGATGAAGTACAGCTAGAATGATTACTGGAAGCCAGAATGGCCAGACCTTGTTGCCCATACTTCCGACCTATTGTCAGGAGGGACCAGTCCCTGGAGAAGGATACCATTTTTGGTAAAGAGAAGGATAGGAGAAAAAGAGGAAGACTCCAACAAGGTGGATTGGCATAGTGGCGGCAGCAATGACTCAGGCTTAGCAACAATTATGAGGTTGGCATGGGACTAGTCAGTGTTTCGTTCTGTTGTGCATAGGGTGGCTATGTGTCGGTGCCAACTCTATGGCACCTAACAACAACAACATATTCCTCATGCTGTGTGCTTCATACAGTCCAGCTTCATGAATTATTTTAAGGGACATGGCACTGTAAAGGATAATTGCCTATCAAACTTACAAAGGGGACACAGAATTTCTCAGATTCTCACTAGCAGTGCTTCCTGAATCATCTCTGATCCTAATTCCATGTCTTTGTTTCTCTAACTCTTCAGCATATATAATTAGATGCCTGTGACTCTGTTTGTATTTGCTTTAAATTCTGTTCTCTGATCACAATTAGCTCCTCTAAATTTGCTAAGAATTAAGAACACTTTGTGTTTCATGAGTATAAAATAAATTTGAGTAAATGGTCTCAGTAAATTAAATTATATAAAGATGGTCGAGATATCAATTTAAAACAATAGTAATAAATATTTCTAAAAAAAAAAAAAAAAATTAAAACGCTCTTTTTGCTTTACATGAGCTGCCTTTACATTATAACTCAGATTTTAAAAAGTTTAACTGTAAATTTAATTAATGGTTTTAGTCACCAGGTTAGAATGTAAGAAACAAAACAGAACTATATTTTTAAATAACTAAAAAATTTTGAAATCTACTAAATAGTTTTACAGAAAAAAGCATCACATTTCTAGTCAAGGTAACTTTTTAGACACGTAAACTGGTTTAATAATTTTGCTCTTAAAATGGCTAAATGTCTTTTTTTGTTGTTGTCATAATGTAACAGTAATGTTAGCTCTATATTCTAGTATGCACAAGTCTAGGATTTATTTTCTTAAAAATGCTTAATTCACTTGAATTTACTAAATAAAATTCATTTGAATTTACTAAATATCTTCCACTAGATTAACTGATTAACTGAGATAACATCACTTTACTTACAACTAGAAAATTGTCAGTTATGCATGCAACAAAACTAAATAATATGTTGTTATTAAGTACCTTCGAGTTGGTTCGGACTCATAGTGACCCTATATAGAGTTTCTAAGGAACAACTAGTGAGTTGAAAGCACTGATCTTGTGGTTCAAAGTGCTTAGCCTATAGTGCCACACCTGGACTCCAAATTATAAGTAATACCATTTTTTATAAAAAGATGTCTTATGAAATAAATTGTAAGGATTCATTATATCAACTAAATGATAAACTTACAATCCATAGATAACTTTAAGAACTTGGATGAATATAAATTGAGTAAACTAATGTTAAACCTTTGGATGCCTAGATAGTTTATAAGTTGAAAGATACAAAACACACTTCACTAAAATCAACAACAAAAATAGACTTGTATAGACTAAATTGTTAGCTGTCATTGAATTGACCCTGGCTCATGGCAACATTGCCTGGTCTTGCATCATCCTCAGGATCATTAGCATGTTCTCTGTCTCACTGAGGGGCTCATTCATGCCCTCCCTGGCCCTCTAAACATATTGTCCTTCCTCATGACATGTCCAAATCAAGTCACTTAGACTTCATGCTGTTGTGATCCATAGGTTTCCACTGTCTAATTTCCAGAAGTAGATAGGCCTGGCTTTTCTGTCTAGTCTGTTTTTTGTTTGGAAGCTCAGCTGAAATCTGTTGACCATAGACAACCCTTCTGGTATTTGAAACACCAGTGTCATAGCTTCCAGCATTATAGTAATGCACAAGCTACCTCAGCACGACAAACTAACAGATGAGTGGTAGCTTTTCTTTTTACACAGGATAAAATATAGAATGATCATCAATGAACACATTAGAGAATATGCAGAAACCTTTGGAGAATGGTAGTAAATATGCATGTTTTTATCACTTTAAATTTGTAAAAGGGATATGTAATGTATATTTGTAGGACAAGAAGACCAAGCAACTTTTGGATGACTACCTCCTAGTTTTCCTTATAGGGGAACATAGTTTTTTACTTTGATTAAGGGTTATCATTAATACTGCCAGGCACTACAGGTACAGAGAAACACAAACATACATACAAGACAATGGCTGTGTTTATTCTGTTTATTAAGGAAGTTGTAACTGTTTATTCATACAGTACGTTCAGTTTATTATGTATTATTTTATGGGATAGGGTAGATTGCCTGGCTTATGCTAGAGTTGAAGTTAAAGGTTTGAAGTTTACCATTCTATAATGATGACTTGTACATAACCAATACAAACACATGAATGTTTACTCTTGTTCTTTAGTGAGAGTCAGTTCCAACTCATAACGATGTTATATAGGGTTTCCAAGAAATGACTGGTGGGTTCGAACTGCCAACCTTGTGGTTAGCAGTCCATTTTCTTGTTTATATATACCCATGATTTCTCTTCATATAAATAATAACTACTTTTCTGCGATGACTTTACTTCTTACATATCCTAAGCTGAACCTGTAAATTCAAAGTAATACAATTATTTAGATGTCTTTTGCATCAAAAACTATCTTTGAGTTTCTCTAGATAGTTATCGGAGCCCTGGTGTGGTGCCGTGGGTTAATGCGCTGGACTACAGTCAGTTTTAACCACAAAGTCAGTGGTTCAAGCTCACTAGTCACTCCTTGGAAACCCTATAAAGGGTCGCTATGGGTCAGAACCAACTCGACAGCATTTAATTACAATAAGATAACCATTGAGTAATCATATATTTATTCTGACACTAACAGAAAGGTGATATTAAATATTTTTTATATAACATTAACAAAATCATCATTCAGTGTGTTTTTTTATAATTCTTAAATGTCGTTTCAATATAAATATAAATCCAGCTTCCCAACCTCTCTCTCATAATCTGAGTAAATTAAATCTCGTCACTTTTTAACAGTTGTTTTCATGCTAAACATGTGTCATTCTGGTTTGTTTGATTTGGCCCTAATTAAAATTTTAATATACTGGTAGCGTAGTGGTTACGAATCGGACTGCGAACCTTAAGGTCAGCGGTTCGAAACTACCAGCTGCTCCGCGGGAGAAAGATGAGGCTTTCTACTCCCGTAAAGATTTACACCCTCGGAAACCCTGTACAGGGTCACTATGGGTCGGAACCGACTCGACGGCACTTAACAACAACAACAACAACAACATTTAAAGAATAATAAAAGTATATTTTGAATATTATACTCTTTTATATATTCCATGAGTAATTATCATGTTTTTAATTCCCCAATAGTTAAATCAATAATCCAGTCTACTGGATTATCAGATATGAGAATATCACTTTGCAAGAGGCTTAAGAATTGACATATATGAGGGAGCTTCCAAAGTTCATGGAAAAATGGAATTAAAACAATGAAAAATTTCCATGAATTTTTGAAGCTACATGATATACTCATAGTATCATGTAGCATATATACTAATGTTATAGATCCTTTATGATATATATATAAAGGGTATATATATTATAAAGGATATATAATATGAATTAAATTATATATAAATTATAATATAAATTAAAAGTTGTTAATTACCTAAAAATTAAAGTTGTTAATCACTTTGTATGAAAACAAAGGAGTTTCCTAATTTATTCAGATAACTTAATCATGAGGAAGGCAGTGGGCAGTGGACAAAACATGATAATTACTAATGGAAGACAAAGGACAACTAAAAAACTACAGTTGTGAAAATTCAAATTTATATTTAAAGAGGATGGAAGGAATACATAAGAGTTGCTGTGCCAAAAAGAATTGGTTGGTGTTCAGTCATTCAAGAGGTACCATATGGAAATATAGGAGTCCTGGTGTGGTGTTGCAGTATAATGCACTGGACCACAAGATTAGTTTGAACCACAGATCAGTGATTCAAATCCACCAATTGTTCCTTGGACACCTTTTACAGGGTCTCTATGAGTCAGAATCAACTCAATGGCTCTTAACTACAATCGACAACAACAAAGATAAGGGGGACCAAATGAAACAGACACAGAGGACAATCCTGGACCCTGAGCTTTAGAGGAAGGGTTAGAAAAGTGAATTGAATACCTCCTGGGAGGAGAAAGCAGGATAGGAGCTAAGAAAGAAGACTAACTGATTAGTGAAAGGACTGCCAGCCAGACGTGGCACTTCCCTCTTGAACTTCTGCAAACAGCTTTAGAGAGACACACAGATGGTGGCCTGATGGCGCAGATTCACACAGGAGACAGAAAAAGTGGGTTTCCTTCTTGCTTCCTATTCTTTTCTGGATAACAGACACAAGGCTGGTCCCCTCATCAAATCATGAGGTTTGCGCCAGTGTGAGGCTGGTGCCTACTGCTCCATCTTGGCACCTGAATTCTGGTGGGCTTTGCTCCAGATTTAAAGAACCCACAGAACCACCAGGCCAGATTTAGACTAGCAGGAACCTTCATAATCAGCCACCCTGCCCCCGGCTGCTCTCTGATTCTGACAGACAATGAAACTAGCAACACAAAGGGCCTCTATGAACTACTTCCGGATTTGTTGCCCAGAATATAACAACACCTAGGCCTGTAGGAACTCCACTTAGGACTGGGCACTCATCTGTCACATCCTTCCTCCACCTACCTCATGGTTCAAACCAATTTTGTAGTCCAGCACACTAACCCACAGGATTGTTATAAATAAAATGTGTCAAACAGCAACAGAAACTGAGCATTTAGAAGGCCTCAGGCACACTTCCAAAGGCTTAACATGCATAAAAGTTCTTTAATCTTCAGAAATCCCTAAAAGGTGGTGTTATTACCATTTCCTCAAAGTAAAGAGAATTGCGGTACAGAGAGATTAATTGAATTACCTCAAAATTACAGTGTATTAGTGGAGACTGGGAGCCAAACCTGGATGCTGCCTTTAGAAGCTCCTTTTACTTTTGGGTTATGGATTAATGCTGGGCAGTCATTTTACTAGCATGAGTGTATTATTATATTTGCTATTTCATGTGCATATCACCCCATCTTCATGAGTTGGTAATTATTAATACCTTACAAGCTCAGAGTGTTTACCTTGTTTAAAGAATAGGTCAAAGATCTTTAGTTAATTATTAGCACATCGTTAATTTATTTGCACACAGATTGCATCAAGAAGTAGATTGATGTCATCCAACAAAGGCAAGAATATGATTCATGTGGGGGAGGGAGGGACCAGCAGATTGTTGGAATAGGATACTGTGTGTGTGCATTATATTAAGTAGCAAAGCAACAAACAGTCTGGACAGTGTTCTATTGCATAAGCAAAGAAGAAAAGCAAACCAGTAGTTATTTATTGTTAAGTACTGTTAGTCAGTTCCAACTCATAAGGACTCTGTATAGAGATTCTGAGGCGATAAATCTTTGTTTTAATTTTCTTTCGAAGCTGTAAATCTTTGTGGGAGCAGAAAACCTCATCTTTCTCTTGCAGAGAGACTGGTGGATTTGAACCACCGACCTTGTAGTTCACAGTCCAAGCTTATCCTAGAGTCACTACACTTTGTTTGTTGTTGTTGTTGTTGTTGTTGTTAGGTGCCATCAAGTTGGTGCTGATTCATCGCGACCTTATGCACAGCAGAATGAAACCCTGCCCGATCATGACCCAACCTCACTATTGTTGACATGCTTGAGCCCATTGATGCTGCCACTTTGCCAATCCATTTCGCTGGGGGTCTTCCTCTTTTTCTCTGACCCTCCACCTTACCAAACATGTTATCCTTCTCCAGCAACTGCTCCCTCCTGACAATATGTCCGAAGTATGAGACACAAAGTTTGGTCATCTTGACCTCCAAGGAGCACTCTGGCTGCACTTCTTCCAACACGGATCTCTTGGTTCTTTTGGCAGCTCATGGAACTTTCAATATTCTCCTCTAACACCATAATTCTAAAGCATCAATTCTTCTACAGTATTCCTTATTTACTGTCCAGCTTTCACATGCATATAAGGTTATTGAAAATACCATGGCTTGGGTGAGGTGCATCTTAGTCCTCAAGCTGACATTTTTCCTTTTCAACACTTTAAAAAGGTCTTGTGCAACAGATTTGCCTAATGCAATATGACGTTTGATTTCTTGACTGCTGCTTCCATTTGTGTTGATAGTTGATCCAAGAAGAATGAAGTCCTTGATAACTTCAATCTTTTCTCCGTTGATAAGAATGCTGTTTATTGGTCCAGTGGTGAGGATTTTTGTTTTCTTTACATTGCAATGCAATCCATACCAAAGGCTGTGCTCTTTGATCTTCATCAGTAAATATTTTAAGTCCTCTTCACTTTCAGCAAGCAAGGTTGTGTCATTTGTATATCACAGATTGTTAATGAGTCTTTCTCCAATCCTGATGTACTTTGTTTAGGAGGATAGAAGTCAGAGTGCAGGTCCTGGAGAAAGTTCCTTGTCTCTTTTCAGCATGTTGTGGCCCAGCATTCCTTGGAGATCTCTGTGGGTCTTGGCATCGGATCTTTCCCTGCCATCCATCCATGATACTTTAGAAACTCAAGCTAGACTTTGGTGCATACAAGACAGTTTGTCTCTCTTCTTACATACACACTTAATTAGCTCTCTAAACACATTCCTGTAAACATACAGAATGACAAGATAGTAGTTTTCTTGATCCTTCCAGATTTAGAAAAATGTGTAGGTTCAACATTTTGCGGGATAGTCTTAGCAGTCTTAAATGAAATGCCTTTAAAAAGAGTTAACTTTTCCAAACCTCCACCCTGCACAATCCTGACTGACTCAGCAGGAAAACAAATTGGGCAGAGTACCCAGCTGCCTGTCACCTTCCTGCTTAACATTCTTGGCTCTAACTCAATTCTTTGGACTCTGAAAATCAACTTGCCAAAACCCCAGGTACTCTGAGTTCATTATAAATTAGACAAAAGGGAGTAAGTGTGGAGAATGAGCTACTTACCATACTTAGCCACCTCTATTCTGAGGGCAAAAAAATAGTGAGATTTCTCAATTTTGAGTGGGAAATTAAAAATGAGACCTGTGTTGCAATCGAAAGATGTATGTAGTCCTACCATCCCATAGGCAATTTATAAAATCATTAATAAAAAGAGCTGACTTCATTTTCTTGTGGATGTTCCTGTCCTGGTATGAGGGATCCCTGCTGCAGGCTCAGGAGGGATGTGGAAACAGAAATGATGGAACTTATTAATGATCTCATTAATTCTGTAAGGAGACAGAGTTAGAAAACTTAACTCCATCAATCACAGTTTTGAACTTATCCTCTGACCACATCAAGTTCTCCAACAGTAAAATATATAAATAAATTGGATTCAGGAGCAGTTAAGTATAAACTTCTGTAATTACTTTTCTTCCCGGCTCCCTTCCCTTTCTCCCTTATTTTCTCTTTTCTTTCTTTTTTGTTAAACTTGAAGTCCTGGTGTGGTGCTGTGGGTTAATGTGCTGTACTACAAAGTCAGTCTGAACTTCTCAAGGTCGGTAGTTCAAGCTCACCAACTGCTCCTTGGAAACCCTATACAGGGTTGCTACAGGTCAGAACTGACTCGACGGTGCTTAACATCAACAACACGTTAGACTTGCTTAAACAATTGGGATCGTGTATTTTGGTTATTAGTATACCGAAATAAATCCTTGTTTAAATTGAAAAACAGCAAACAAACTGTATGTTTAAGAATTTCACAGAAAAGATGCTGTCGGGGACCTGACTCGACAGGGAAGTTTGGTTCACGAAGTAGGGAGATCTGGTGGCAAAAGAAATAGAAAAAGAATACACACAAAGACGCGACGAGAGAGACAAAGAGACACCCCGAGACCAGAGTGGATGCAAGACTGGCAGGCAGACCCTGGATTGCAGGTATCATGGCCCTGCAGGCAGTAATGCATGCAGGATTCAATCTGTGTCTATTTTTTATTTCAGGGAGGGATTTTACACAAAGGAAGAAGGGGATTATTAAGACAGGGTACAGAAATAAAATGTGATTAATGGTTCAAAACAGGACACAATGACTTAAAGGAACAAATTTTAAAATGTTGTTGTTGTTGTCAGGTGCCATCCAGTCAGAACCGACTCATAGCCACCCCATGCACAGCAGAACGAAACAATGTCCGATCCTGGGCCAACCTCACTACTGCTGCCACACTTGAGTCTATCAATGATGCCACCTGGCTGATCCATCTCGTTGGGGGTCTTCCTCTTTTTCTCCGACCCTCCACCTTACCCAGCATAACATCCTTCTCCAACGATTGTTTCCTCTGGACAATATGTCCAAAGTAGGAGAGACGGAGCTTAGCCATCCTGGACTCCAAGGAGCACTCTGGCTGCACTTCTTCCAAAACAGATCTATTGGTTCTTTTGGCAGTCCATGGCACTTTACGTATTCTCCTCCAACACCACAACTCAAAGGCATCAGTTCTTCTACGATCTTCCTTATTCACTGTCCAGCTTTCACATCCATATGAGGCTATTGAAAACACCATGGCCTGGGTCAGGCGCACCTTAGTCCTCAAGCTGACATCTCTGCTCTTCAATACTTTAAAAAGTTCCTGTGCAGCAGATTTGCCCAGTGCAATACGTCGTCTGATCTCTTGACTGCTGCTTCCACGAGTGTTGATAGTTGATCCAAGAAGAATGAAGTCCTTGACAACTTCAAGCTTTTCTCCATTGATAAGAATGTTGTTTATTGGTCCAGTGGTGAGGATTTTTGTTTTCTTGACATTGAGATGTAATCCATATCGAAGGCTGTGCTCTTTAATCTTCATAAGTAAATGTTTCAAGTCCTCTTCACTTTCAGCCATCAAGGTTGTATCATCTGCATATCGCAGGTTGTTAATGAGTCTTCCTCCAATCCTGATGCCACTTTTTTCTTCATAGAACCCAGCTTCTCGTATTATTTGCTCAGCATACAGGTTGAATAAGTATGGTGAAAGAATATAACCCTGTCTCATACCTTTCCCAATTTTAAAACACTCAGTGTTCCCATGTTCTGTTCGAACAACTGCTTCTTGGTCTAGGTACAGATTTCTTAGAAGTACAATGAAGTGTTCTGGAATAGTCATACTTCTCAATGTTGTCCATAGCTTGTCATGATCCACACAATCAAAAGCCTTTGCGTAGTCAATAAAGCACAGGTAAACATCTTTCTGATAGTCTCTGCTTTCAGCCAAGATCCATCGGACATTAGCAATGATATCTCTCATTCCACGGCCTCTTCTGAATCCAGCTTGAACCTCTGGAAATTCTCTGTTAATGTATGATTGTAGCCGTTTCTGTATTACCTTGAGCAAAGCTTTACTCTCTTGAGATATCAAAGAGATTGTCCGATGATTTCCACATTCTGTTGGGTCTCCTCTCTTTGGAATGGGCATAAACATTGATCTCTTCCAATCAGTCGGCCAGACAGTTGTCTTCCAAATTTCTTGGCAGAGATGAGTGAGTGCCTCCTGTGCCGCCTCACTTTTCTGAAAGTTTTCAATTTTTATTCCATCAATTCCTGGTGCCTTGTTCTTTGCCACTTCTTTCAATGCACTTTGGACTTCCTCCCTGAGTATCATTGGCTCTTGTTCATATGGTATCTCTTGAAATGGTTGAACATTAACCTTTTCCTTTTGGTACAATGACTCTGTGTATTCCTTCCATCTTTTCTTGATGCATTCTGCATCATTCAATAATTTGCCCAGTGAATCTTTCAATAACGAAAGTTGAGGCTTGAATTTTTTCTTCAGTGCCTCGAGCTTGAGAAATGCTCACCGTGTTCTTCCCTTTTGGTTTTCTAACTCTAGATCTTTGCATATTTTATTATAGTATTTTGTTTTATCTTCTTGAGCTGATCATAAGTCATGCAAGCACCTTCCTCATCCTCCATTGGCAATTCACCTAGCTTATTGCCAAGCCAGTATATCCCACCG